GGCGGGCGCCGGGCGCGGCTGCCGGGGTGGGGGCCGCCGCCAGATGCCGGGTGGCGCCCGAGTCCCCGAAGGCGCCTGGCCCTTTAAGGCAGAGAGCGCTCCAGCGCGCGGCCCGTGTGCGCATGAGTGTGTGCGAGCGTGAGTGTGAGTGTGAGTGTGAGTGTGAGTGTGAGTGTGCGGGCGGAGGCGGCGCGGCGGGCCTGCGGGGGACCAGGTGGCCGTGCGGGGGCGCGGGGGCGCGGGGGGCTCGGGGCGCCCGCCCTGCCCGCTGACGCGCTCGGCCCCCCCAGGACGGCAGCGGCGGCCCCGAGCTCCGGGCCCCAGGACCGCCCCGCGCCGCCGCCTCGCCCGCGCCGCCCGGGCCACCGGGAGCGCCCACTCCCATGGCCGAGCAGCAGATCAGGTGAGGGGGCCGCGCGCCCGCCCCGCCCCGCCCCCCCCCGCGCCCCTGCAACCCCCCGCGCCCCCCGCCCGCGCTGACCCTGCCTCCCTCAGCCTGCCGGCCAAGCTCCTCAATGGCGGCATCGCGGGTCTCATCGGCGTCACCTGCGTGTTCCCCATCGACCTGGCCAAGACGCGGCTGCAGAACCAGCAGAACGGCCAGCGCCTGTACAGCAGCATGTGAGCCCGCGGCGGGGCGGGCGGGGAGGCCGGCGGGGGCTCCCCGGGGTCAGGGTGCGCGCCCGCGCCCGCTCGGCTCACCCTCCTCCTCCCCCCTCCTCCCCCTCCTCTCCTCCCCCTCCTCCTCCCCCCCCTCACTCCTCCCCCTCCTCCTCCCTCCTCCCTCCCCCTCCTCCCTGGCCGCAGGTCCGACTGCCTCATCAAGACCATCCGCTCGGAGGGCTACTTCGGCATGTACCGCGGTGAGGCCAGGGTCGGGGCAGCCTCTGAGGCCGGTGCGCCCGGGAGGCGGGGGTCAGAGCCAGGCAGGGTGCCCCCCTCGGGCCTGTGCGAGTATGGACGAGACCGAGGGGCCTGGGTGCCGGGAGGGCCACGCGGCCTTGGCCTGGGCTCCGTGGGGAGGGGAAGCTCCCAGCGCCCTCCCAGGGCACCCCCCCCCGCCCTCGGGACAGGTGGGCCTCCTCCCACCTGTGCTGGGAGCCCCACAGGAGGAGGCCTCACGCAAAGCTGCTTAGGAGACAATCCCCAGGCCTGGCTCTGCCCAGACCCTGAGCGGGGGCCCGGCCACTGCCTCCCGGGCTCTGGCTCACTGAGGCCTGTGTCCTCCCCCGGGGCTCCTGCGCACACCCACAGCCCCCACCCAGTAGGAGCACCTGCTGACCTCTGCCCCCCCCCCCCCCCGAGGTGCTCCTCGGGGAAGCCAGAGCGGGAAGATCACACAGGCAGGGTGAATGGAGCGCCAGGCAGAGGCACTGCCCCTGTCCCTGCCCTGTCCTGCCCGCCTGGCACCAATGTGGGTGAGAGGGCAGGACGGGGAGCCAAGGAGTGACTGGGGTGGGGTGAGGCTTCGCCAGCTGGGAGGCTGGTGCTGGCTCAGAGCCTCCCCCGCCCTGGCCACCGACCTGCCTGTGTCCCCCGTGCCCGCAGGAGCCGCTGTGAACCTGACCCTTGTCACCCCAGAGAAGGCCATCAAGCTGGCAGCCAATGACTTCTTCCGATACCAGCTCTCCAAGGATGGGTGAGGGGTGTGGGCCGAGGTTGTGAGGGGGAGGGGTCCACGGCCACAGAGTGCTCTGCCTGCCGACCCATCCCCCCTGCCTCCTGCACGAGGACTAAGGGATGCTGAGTCAGTGGTGCTTAGGGCCCAGCCACGTGCACCAGCCCCTGGAGGGTGGGATGTGGGGGGCCTGACCCGCTTTCCCTGTCACCCGAGGCCCAGGCCGCAAGGCTGGCCCTTTGGGGACATGAGGCCCCTGGTCTCTCCACTGCTCTTTGCCTGAGAATGGCCCTTCCATCTTTCCCAGGCCCCATCAGTGGGGCCATCTGTCCGCTGGGCTCGGTGCCCACTGCTGGAGGGCCGGAGGGGAAGTCTGAGGCTGGCGGGTCCTGTACCCCTCCAGGGCCGCATCTGCCCCTGCCACCCCTTCCCCTTCACGCCCAGGGCAGCCGGCAGCCCCCTGAGCTGCGGGGCTTCCGCTTCCGCTTCCGCAGCTCGGCCCCCACCCCTTCCCCGCAGGCAGAAGCTGACCCTGTTTAAGGAGATGTTGGCCGGCTGCGGGGCCGGCACCTGCCAGGTGATCGTGACCACCCCCATGGAGATGCTGAAGATCCAGCTTCAGGACGCAGGCCGCATTGGTGAGGAGGGGAGGGCGGGGTCTCAGCTGGAGCCCCATCCCCACGGGGGCGGGAGGTGGGGAGGTGGAGGTGCAGATGAAGAGCCAGCAAGCCCTGCTTTCTCTCCCCAGCTGCCCAGAAGAAGATTCAGGCCCAGCTATCCGCCCAAGGGGGCGCCCAGCCCGCCATGGAGGCCCCGGCCGCTCCCCGGCCCACAGCTACTCAGCTAACCCGGGACCTGCTTCGGAGCCAGGGCATCGCCGGCCTCTACAAGGGCCTGGGGGCCACACTGCTCAGGTGGCAGGCCGGTGACGGTCTGGGGGGGGAGGCCTGCCCACTGCCCGCCTCTAGGGCACAGCTAGGTGACCAGCGGCCCTCTCTTCCCCACCCAGGGACGTCCCCTTCTCCATCGTCTACTTCCCCCTCTTTGCCAACCTGAACCAGCTGGGCCGTCCCGCATCCGGGGAGAAGTCTCCCTTCTACGTGTCCTTCTTGGCTGGCTGTGTGGCTGGGAGCGCGGCCGCCGTGGCCGTCAACCCCTGTGACGGTCAGTGCCTGGCACCGCGTGGGGGGCTGTAGGTGGAGGCTCAGGCGCGGGGTGGAGGTGGGCCGCGCGCTGACCCGCACACCCCCCTGCAGTGGTGAAGACGAGGCTCCAGTCGCTGCAGCGCGGTGTCAACGAGGACACATACACGGGGTTCCTGGACTGCGCCAGGTGGGGAGGCCCGGGGGCGGGGGCTGGGCTGGGGCTGGGGCCGGTTGGGGCCAGCGGTCCTGACCACCGTCTCCCCACAGGAAGATCCTGAGGCACGAGGGCCCCGCGGCTTTCCTGAAGGGTGCCTACTGCCGCGCCCTGGTCATCGCGCCGCTGTTCGGCATCGCTCAAGTGGTCTACTTCCTGGGCATCGCCGAGAGCCTGCTGGGGCTGCTGCCCGGGCCCCAGCTCTGAGCCCGGCAGCCACCCACGCCCTCCAGCCCAGTGGGACCAGAGTGGGGGCCGGAGCCCGGCGGCCGCCCAGGACTGAGCAGAGGAAGTCTCTCCCCAGCCTTCCCACGCGGGTGGGGGGAAGCGGAGGAAGGGAGCAGGGTCCACATGGGTGGTGCACCCGGGCCCCTGAGGGGCCCTGCCTGTGCCACCATTGGGAGCAATGTCTTATTTATGTAGAAAACGCAGAAACCTTTACATTCCTGGAGCCAGCCCCGCCACGGCTCCGCCCCGGCCTGAACAGCCCCAGGGACAGAGCTGGCCTCTGGGCTGGGGCCTCCAGGCCTGGGCTGAGCCAGCGGACCCTACACTCCAGTCTACCAGCTCTCATCCCCGAGGCTTGGCCCCTAGTCCACAAAGGGGGCCCTGCACAAACCTATTTATTGCCGAGCACAAGTGCTCTGTCCATCCCTGTGTCCATCCGTCCAGCCTCTCCCTGCCGCCGCCCCTCTCACCTTGGCCAGCCTTGCGGGAGGATTGGGGTCTCCAGCCCCCCATTATTGAGCCAGGAGTCCGAGTGGGGGGTCACACTGAGGTCTGACCCCTCCAGGCAAGCCCCCCCCCCTCCGTGGGATCCAGCATCCCTCCTGGTGGGCCTCTACCCCCGCCGCAGGCTAGGAACCCGTAGCGTGTGAGGTCTGTGTGCATGTGCAAATGTCTGGGGAGCAGGTTGTGTCCAGCAGCCCTCAACTGGCCTGGCCCTTCAAAGGTGGGGCTGTGGGCGGTGGGGGGGCGCTGCTGGCCTTATCCACACAGCGGGCAATGTGTGTGTGTTTGTGCTATGTGTGCCCTAGGCTCCTCTCTGACCCCATCCAGGAACTTATTTTTCCAGCCTGGTTCTTGCTGCACCTCGGCAGACCCCTCTCCTGAGACCCCCCGACCCTGGGTCCAGGATTGGCCAGTGGGGAGGGCAGGCATGAGGACCAGTAGGGAGCCTGGGGGTACCTACCCCCTCAGCCCTGCCAGGGCCCACCGTACTCTCTGGGCCTCTGCAGAAGGGCTCTGACCACACTCCGTAAACTCTGCCCTCCCGAGACCGCCCTCTTTTGTGGATGTTGTGAGCCGAAGCAGGCCTGCCCCCTACCCCCTGCCCCCTGCCGCCGCCCCCCCCCCAGGCCACGTGATTGTATTGGTGATTGATCCTGATGTGCTGGTGCTGTGTACCCCACCTGGGCTCCGTCCTCGTCCTTGGAGGCCCCTTCCGGTGACACTACCTGGGGCTCGGGCCGGGCCCCTCAGTTCACGGTTGTTCCTGGGAGCGTCCTCTCCCACCACATCTGTACCTTGGAAGCTGCTGCTGCTGCTTACAGAATTATATTTTTTCTTTTGAAGAGTTTTAAGAAGTTGTAACTTTTTGTGTCTTGTCTTGTGAGAAGATAAATAAATATTCTAAGTAGATGACTTCTCTCAGATCCACTGGGGGCAGGGGTGGGGTGGGGTGGGGGTGCTCCTCGGAACCGGCTCCCTGTCCTGCTCGCCGACCTCCGTCCACCCACTCGCGGACCCGCCCCGGCCTGGGGGAGGGCCTGAGCCCCCCGACCCCCTCGGCGGCGGGATCGGAGGTGCGGGACGGCGGCCCCCTCCCCCCCCCCCCCCCCCCCCCGCCCCACCGCAACCTCCCTGGGGCCCCACGGCGGAGCTGGGCCAGGCCCGGCGTTCCCGCCAGCCGAGGGCGCCCTGGAGGCCGAGGGGGCGGGGCCTGCGGTGATGCGAGGGGGCGGGGCCTGCGGCGATGCGGCCCCGCCCCCTCGGGCTGCGGCGCCCAGAGCAGTGCATTGTGGGAAACTCCCAGTCGCCGCAGCCGCAGCCGCAGCCGCCGCCGCCGCCGCCCTGGTCCCGGAGAGCGCGCCGCGCCGAGGACCGAGCGCCGGGAGCAGCAGCGTAAGGCCGCGGGGCTCCGGGGCCCGGGGCGCGGGCTGCGACAGGGCGGCCTCGCGGGGCGAGTGGGTGGCTCCCGCCTTGAAGGTCACGGGGGGCGCCTGGCGGGCCTCGCTCTCCGGCCCGGCGGCTCCTGGGAGGGGGAGGGGGCACTGGCTGACGTCAGCGCGAACCAAAAATAACGGGGGGCTGCGGGGGGCGCAGACCACCCGCCCTTGGTGAACTCGGCGCCCCGCTGCTGGGCGCCCATCCCGAGCGGCAGGGGTCGAGGGGCCGCCCGGGCTCCCCGGGAAGCGGGGCAGCAGCTGGGCTGCTCGCTGGGACACCCTCATCACGCGGCGACCTACAGGTGACCTTCAGGTGTGGTCAGGGTGCCTGACCTGGGTGGAAAACCTGGGCCTCGGCTTCCCAGGTGGGCTCCCTGCCCCAGTTGGGGGGCTTCTAATCCTCCCCGAGGAGGGGCAGACGGGGCGTCCAGATCTTCCGGGAGAGATGGCTCAGGCCCAGCCGGTACCTCCAGTGCCCCCAGCACCCCCCAGTGGAACACAGGATCTGGGCCCGTCCTTTCCCATAGCCTGGAGCCCCCATCCTCTGCCCGGGACCAGGTTTGAGGGTGCTGGGGCTGAGGCTGACGGACATGGCCTGTGTCCACCCAGGCTCACACCAGGGCCCCCCCCCACAGGCTCAGGAAGGACTCCCTGCCCTTGAACGGCAGCAGGCAAGGCGGGTCTTGGGGGTGGGTCCCTGGAGCTGGGGAGGGGCAGGGCCTGTCCCTGCCTGCCCGGCTGGGCTCTCCAGCTGGGCTCTCCAGCTGCGGGGCGACACCTCAGGTGTGCTGTATCCCAGTTCCAGCAGCCGAGGGCCCGTTCCCACCCCCTGGCACCAGCGAGCCCAGCCTGGGTTTCTGCCCTGGCACCGCACGGCTGCCACACCCTCCGCTGACCACATGCCTCCTCAGGACCACATACCCTTCCCCCTCGGCCCCCCTTCCCCCAGCCAGATGGAAATTGCACACGTAGGAGCAGGACTGTTTTGCAGATGGCTGGTCTCATCCCGTCCCCCAGTCTGCTTGGGGCAAGCAGGCTCTTCCTGTGCGGTTGGAGGGGCTTCTCGGGGAGTGGTCGGTCGGGGACAGACGGAGAACAGGCCCTGCAAGAAGAGCGCCCTGAGCGGGGTCTCCTGGGGCTGTCCAGAGACCTGGGCGGGGCCTCTGTGGGGACAAGATGGTAGGGGCCACCAGGAGGGCTGAGTCTCTTGCCCTAGCCTGACTGTGTCTCTCTCCAGGCCTAGATAATGCCCAGGGGTGAGCTGTCCTGAGCCACTGTGTTCCAGCTACCTGTCCACGCACACCCCACGCAGCCTGCAGCTCCTCCCATCATGGAGTCCCGGGGGAAGCCGACCAGCAGCCCCAAGCCGGACACCAAGGCCCCCCAGGCTGCTGCTGAGCCCAGAGCCCCGCCAGCTGCAGACGGGAAAGCCCCCTCCGCTAAGCCCGGGAAGAAGGAGGCCCAAGCAGAGAAGCAAGAGCCTGCGGCGGCCCCCACCCCACCAACCGCCAAGAAGACCCCGGCCAAGGCCGACCCCACCCTCCTCAATAACCACAGCAACCTGAAGCCGACCCCAGCAGCCCCCAGCAGCCCCGAAGCCACCCCCGAGCCCAAGGGCCCTGGGGATGGGGCCGAGGAGGAGGAAGCCCCCAGCGGGGGCCCCGGGGGCCGAGGCCCTTGCCCCTTTGAGAACTTGACGCCCCTGCTGGTGGCGGGGGGTGTGGCTGTGGCAGCCATGGCCCTAATCCTAGGTGTGGCCTTCCTGGCCCGGAAAAAATGATGGCCGGTGCCCAGGTGGGGGCAGAGCCACTCTGTACAGACCTCAGGAACGTAGTGCATGCCCAGCTCACGCAGCTACTAGACATCCGTACCTTGTAACACATATACGCACAGCCCCCACACACGCGCAGGCACCGACATGGACCGGCCCCCACAATGGAAAGCAAGCCCCCTCGCGGCCCCCAGCACTTTCCCTCCCCGTCCTGGGCAGACGTCCCGGCTGGGGCCGTGGTCCGGGGGCAGTGGGGGCAGCGGCCCTCCGGTGCGGCCTGCCCGCCACAGTCGTGTCCCCACTGGACACGCTCCTGAGCGCCCGCCGGCCCCGAGAGAGGCCCCGGTGGTCCTGTGTGCTCCCTGGCAGCGGGGTGCGGACAGGTCCCCAGGGCACAGGCCCAGCCTGTGTGGGGACATTAAAGGGTATGGCTGTTTCACTCTCCCCATTTCTGCTCTTTGTTTGTAGCTGGGCCGGGCCGGGCCGGGGGTCCACGTGGGTAGGCCCGGCACTGGGCAACTGAGCCAAGGCCACACAGCGGCCGAGCTTCCATGCCCCCTGCCCATCACCTGCGCCCCAGCCGGGCCCAGCTTGTGCCCCGCCACTGCGCCCTTTGAGTCTCACTAGCGTATACATGCAATAACCCCTAGAGTAGAGCTGCTTGGAGGGGGCCTGGCACACATGGGCACCGGCCCGCTGAGCCTGCAGGGACACTGCCGTGCAGCCCTCAGCGCAGTGGCAGCGGGCACGGGCGCGGGGGGAGCCTAGCCAACCGGCCACTGGGACCCCAGGCCTGAGCACAGGCCGAGTCTGAAATAAACTGTTGTGTAATGGCCGGGCTGGTGTCCTCGCCTGCTCGGGGCTGGGAGAGCAGGGCCCACGCGGGGCCGGGCCCCCGCCGCCCCGCCAGGCTTCCAGGGAAGAACAGGGAGCCTGGGCCCTGACCCTAGGTGGACTCCCAGCCCCAGGCCTGGGGCACCTCGCTCCCGGGCTCGGGTCTCCAGCCTGCGGGTGTCTCTCCATTCCCTGCCGTGAGCACCCCATCTGTGGGGCCCAGACCAGACTGGGGAGGCGGGCTTTCCTCCTCCGCGGCCCACAGCTGCCCAAGCCCACCCCGGCTGAGGACTTCAGCTGTGGGCAAGCGGGAGGCTTTCGGGGGGCAAGGCCCCGTGGGGCTGCCGTGTCGGAGGCACGCCCTTCTCTTTTCTTCCCGGTACCCACCTCCCTGAGTGGCACTCCCCGGCCGTGTCCCCGCACGGCAGGCCCAGGCAGGTCCAGAGAACCACTTAGAGCGAAAACATGCTGAGCAGCCCTGAAGTCCCGGCCCAGGGACGCCCTCCGGACCCCGCCCACAGCCACCTGCCAGAGCCGGGCCCACGGGGCGGGGGGCCGTGGAGCAGGGCAGTGGCCCTGAAGTCCAGCGTCCGGCCCACCTGCCCCACTGCACCAGGGCCACCCCTCGGGCTGATTGGGTCACCTGCCGCCCTTGGCTGTCCACTCCCTCTCCCCGTCTCCCCTTTCTGTGGCTTGTGCCCTAAACCCGAACAGGCCCCCCTGATGTTCTTGAGAATGTGTGCAGGGGCGCAGAGCTCCGCCATCTCCGCCTAGAAGTCCCGCTGCCGCCTGCCGCCCTCGTCGGTCCCCCGGGGGCCAGGCTTGTTTCCAAGCCTTTGCAACTCGAGATATGATCGTGATGCCACGTGGGCCCCGTGTCTGGGGTGGGATGCGTGCGCCGCAAGCAGATCTCTGTCGTCAAATCCGCAGAACCCTCCCCAGCCCGGCTGAATCGAGCACACAGCTTGAGCATTAGGCACATGTGTTGCTGTGCGAGGTCCGGAGACCTAGGGACTCGCGTGGGGCAATCCTGCGGCGTCCGGGTCTGACCCACGTCCTCCAGGCCCGTCCACACCGCGGCGGGGGTCAGAACACCCTTCCTGGGCTGAGCCACATTGTGAGGTTGCGCCGCTGATGGATCCCGTGTCCACTTGGCCCGCAGACCCCTTCCCGCCACGGGGGACACCGCTGTGAAGGCGGGTGCACACGTGTCCCCACCGCCCTGCGGCCCCATCCGCGCAAATGCACCAGCTGCGGGCCGGCTGCGAGGGACGCGGGCAGGGTGACACACCACACTCACCCGCGCAGGGGAGGCAAAGGCCTCTTCCTGTTGCTTCTGTTTGCTGCCATCTAATGTACTGCTTTTCACGAAGTTCTCGGCCGCGTGGGTCTTGCCTCGGGTGATTTTTCCCGTTGGTGTGTCTGTTCCTGCCGAGGGAAGGCCGCCTCCCCCAGACTCGGAGGCCCTTTCTGTGTTTTGCACACCACGTCTTGTCGCTGCGCAAATACCGTCACTCCGTGACGGGCCGGTGGCTCCTCTCCTGAGCCGGAGGTCCTAAGGGCCCAGTTAATCACACATCACTGCTGCTCCCTTTTCCATTTACGCCTTGCAATCTCTGGTGGAAGGAACCACACTCTCCTGTTCCAGGCTGACCTCCTTGCCATCTACTCACGTTTAGTAAATGTGCTTTCTTTTGTTTATTTTTTTAAGATTTTATTTATTTATTCATAGGAAACACACACAGAGAGAAGCAGAGACCCAGGCAGAGGGAGAAGCAGGCTCCCTGTGGGGGGCCCGATGTGGGACTCAATCCCGGGACCCTGGGGTCACACTCTGAGCCGAAGGCAGACGCTCAACCACCAGGTGCCGGGGAAGGTTCCTGGCATGGCTCCCCCTCACCCATCCCTGCTCCGTCTGGGGCCGTTTCCAGAGACAGGAATGAAACCACAGGACCTTCTAACCGCAGCACGTGTTTCGGGGTCCCTGACCCGAAGCATAACCCCAGGTTCACAGGCACCACTCCCGTCCCCGCAGAGCCCTATGCCCGGCCCAACCTTACCTGGCCCACCTGGGTGATGAGGTGCCAGGCAGCTGGCCGATGATGCCCCAGGACACCATGCCCACGAGCCCCACAGATCAGGACCTCAGCCGTGACCCCCTTCCCCCAGGAGGCCTGGACCCTCCCCAGGAGTCAGTCATCCAGACCCAGGCTACTGGCTGCAGAGCCGTCTGTCCCGAGGCCCCGGGGGGAAGCGCTGACTGCCAGTTGCTCCCCTGCAGCAGCCCATGCCACCCAGGGCTGGGCGTCCCCCTCGACACCTGCCGGGGGCTAGGGGGCCCTCAGGGTCTCGGGGCTGACCCTCTAGAATGGAACCCACTCAGGAAGCGGGAAGATGAGCCAGTGTGACCATGTAGGTACAGAGGGCAACACCCCCAAGGTCACCCGGGGGGACCCCTGCCTAACTCCAGTCACCATGACCTCTGTTGGCCTCTGGCATCGTGCTGTGAGAGTCCCTGCTGTCCACAGGGACCCACGCAGGCAGGACTGTGCCACACCCAGAGTAAGGCTTCTGGTTGCAAGGCCCCACGTCACCACACCTGTTCCCGGGCATGCTGCCCACTCCAACCCCCAAAGCCACAAGGGACCCAGACCCTTACACATTTGCCAGTGCTGGGAGCTGCTGACACACCCAAACACGGTGCCTGGACTGGCTCGTGCACTCGGGCAACAGCTGTCCTCAGGCTTAGGTGCACATGGGGGACCTGGCCCAGGGGTCTACTGCCCCTGCTTGGATGGGCAGGTCCCCCCAACAGGCACCCCGCAAGGACCCAAGGGCACAGTGGGGTGTGCACCGCCTATGAGCACAGGTGTGCCCTTGTGCATGCACGCTGCACAGCGTCACAGGCCAGCTCCCTCTTCCGTCCTCTTAGTGATAGAAGACCGGCCGGGCACCTCCAGCCCCCGGGCCCCACGCATGGGCACCTGGGGGCCTCCCTATTCCCAGCACGCTCTCATGTGGCTCGGCCTAGCTGGGCTCTGACCTTGGGCCCGTGGTCTAATCCAGTCTCTCCCCCACACACACGGCTCCTGCCCCCTGTCCAAGGCCCTGCCGGTGCCAGGAGCCACTAGCTCCTGCTTCGCTCAAGACAGGAGGGCCCTGCGGGGTTGAGGGCAGGCAGAGGACAGAGCACTGGGGGCAGGGTGCCCGGGACCGGCACCTCGGCCTCGCCTCCACCCTTTGGGCACTTGTGCCCCATGCCAAAGGCTCCCTAGTCAGAGCAGAGGCTGGCAGAACACCAAGGGAACCTACGGCCTGCTCCCCCACCCTGGAAGCCTGGGGTCCTGGAAGGTGCCCTGTGGGGGCCACGGGCAGGGCGGTCCCTCTACCACCAGCTGGCACCCAAGGCCCCTTCTGGCCTCCCGTCCCTCTAGCCCAGGACTTGGCACCCACCCGTCGGCGGGGACCCACATGCCTACCCACCCGACTGCTCCATCAGTGGAGACACTGCTCCAAATGCGGCGCCTCCCAACAGCACCCCGGTTTCCTGACCAGACTCAGCACCTGGAATCCCCTCAGGAAGTGATACCCCCATTCCTCCAGGGACTCAGCGGGGCCTCAGCGACCCGGATGCCCTGCCTCCCCCCAACCACCCTGACCACACTGAACCCATCCTGTCCTCCCCCTCCCTGTGCAGACACCGCAGCCGCCCCCTGGCCCCACTCTCCCGCCTGCCCTGGCCCCGGCCTGGCCCCACACTCCTGCCCCTGCACGCCCACCTGCCCCGCGGCCCTGGCCTGGCCCGACACTCCAGCCCCACACTCCCACCTGCCCCGGGGCCCCTGCCTGGCCCGACACTCCAGCCCCACACTCCCACCTGCCCCCAGGCCCCGGCCTGGCCCCCCACTCCCGCCCCCACTCTCCCACCTGCCCGGGCCACGGCGCAGCCAGTGCAGTCCTGGCTCCCGGCTGTGCTCCCGTCCGTGGGGCTCGCGCCCTCCCCCCCGCGGTCAGGGGCTCCCCTGCTGTCCGTCACCTTCGCGAGCCCACGCCCCAGGCCCCCCGCGGGCCACGCCCCCCCCCCCCCGCAGGCGCGCTGCCCGGGGCCGAGCGGGTCGCCACCTGCAGGGAAACGACCACGACGCGGGGACCCTCGCGCGGGGGAAGCGGTCCTGCCCCTGATTCGCGCTCCCGCCGAGGGCCGAGCCCGCCCCGCCCACACCCCGGGGCGCCCCCGGACGCCCACCCAGCCGGGCCCACGACGCCGCGGCCGGGAAGCCCACCCTGAGCCGGGCGGGGAGCGGAGGCGAGCAAGAGGCCGGGCAGCGCATGCGCCCGAGGCCGCTGAGGCCCCGCCCCCGGGCGCGCGGCACGTGACCACCCCGGGCCGCCCCGCGCACGCGCAGACGGCGCCGGGCGGGCGGAGCCATGGCGTCTGAGCGGCTCCCGAGCCGGCCCGCCTGCCTCCTGGTGGCCAGCGGCGCCGCCGAGGGTGAGGCCCGGGCTCCTGCGGGGGGACGCGGGCCCCGGGGGCCCCGTGCGCCTCCAGCCGCCCGGGGTTCCGAGGAGCCGGCGGGATCCGGGCCTTGGGGCAGGTGCGCCGCCCTGGACCCCCGTGCCCGCCTGTGCCGGCCGCCCGCACCCCGCAGGCGGAGGGGGGGATGGGGGGAGGGGGCGGGGAGGGGGAAAGGGGGCGGGGACGGGGGGCAGGAGGAGGGGAGGAGGGAGGGATGGGGGCGGGGGGGCGGGGCGGGGGAGGGGGCAGGTGGGGGCGGGGTCCCTGTGCCGAGCCCCCGGGGCCCCAAGCGCTGTGCGCACCGGGAGGCTGGGGGAGCCTGGGGGAGCCTGGGGGCCGCGGGGCACCCCGGGCGAAGGGGGCGAGGCCGTGAGCAAGGACCTGACCGCAGACCCACGCAGAGCCGGGGGTGACTCGGTGCCCTGGGAGTGATGCCCAAGAACAGGTGCGGGTGGGGTGAGCGGCGGGGCCCAGGGTGGGGGGATGCGGCTAGGAAGCCCCTGGGCCTGAAGTGGGCGGAAGATGGCTGCGAGCCGCCCTGGGGTGCGGGCAGGGCCCGGAGCCTGTGAGCAGAGGGCAGGTGTCCGTGGGGGCTCGGGATGCGCCCGTGCCGCCCGCGCGGCACAGCCCCACCTGGGGCCCCTCCCTGGCTGAATGCTGGGGGCGGACCTTGCACTTGGTTTGGCCTCCTGGGGAGTGTTGGTGGCCGGGCTGGGGAGAGAGCCCCCCTGGGTTGGGGGGCGAGGTCGGGCCCCAGGACACCCGGGGTGGCCGGGCAGGCTGGCAGCTGCTGAGGGGCCTGCTGTGCCCTCCTGCCCCTCCTGCCACAGGCCCAGTGGCCCCAGCTGTGTTCGCCTCACAGGTGTGTCCGCCCCGTCCTTCCTGCACTGCTTCACGCTGGCCAGCGCTGCTTTCAACCTGCAGGTGGCCACCCCTGGGGTGAGTCCGGTGGGACCAAGGAGTCCCTGCCTTTTGGGGGCGAGGCTGGGAAGACGGCCGTCACTCCCCGGGAGGTATCAGGGCTGAGGGTTAGGACCCTGGTGGCACCATGATGCTGCACACACGAGCGAGGGTGGCACAGACCTTCCCCAGGGGGCTCTCGCCTGTTCTCTGGCGTGGGACCTGGGGGTCGTAGCTGCAAGCTTGTCACTTTGCATGCTTCCCTTGTCATCCCCAGTGAGACACCTGCTGCTCCTTGGAGGTGGGAGATCGGGGAGCAGCAGGGGGCAGCAGAGCGGGGTGATGGGGCTGGGCGGCTGGCTGCCTTCGTCCACGAGCCCTGGTCAGCATTTCGGGGCCCTGTCAGCACGGCAGTGGGGTGCCCACCACCGACCCGCGGCCTCTGGGTGCTCCTGCAGGGGAAGACCATGGACTTCGTGGACGTGAACGAGAGTAATGCCCGCTGGGTGCAGGACTTCCGCCTCAAGGCGTATGCCAGCCCCGCCAAGCTGGAGTCCATTGATGGTGAGGGCCCCAGGGTGCTAAGGCCTTGGGCTCCGGGGTGGGGCCCCCGAGTGCTCCCTCTGCCCCTGATGCACTCAGGGCTTGCCTGGAAGTGCCGGGCCTGTCCAGGCCCACGTCCAGCCCCGAATCCAGGACCCGCAGTTCTCCGGGAGAGCAGCTGCTGGCCCCGGGAGACACCATGAGTCCAGGACGGCTTGTGGGTCCTCGGCCTTAGCCCATGTGGGGAGAAGTGACAGATGGTGGCATCGGGCTGGTCTCAGCCAGCGATCTCGTTCCCTGTCCTCTCCCCGCAGGTGCCCGGTACCATGCCCTCCTGATTCCCAGCTGCCCTGGGGCCCTGGCTGACCTGGCCAGCAGTGGGTCCCTGGCCCGCATCCTCCAGCACTTCCACTCAGAGAGCAGTACGTGACCTGTGGGACGGGGCTGCGGGGCGGGCCTTGCAGATTCCTGAGAACTGGGGCTCCACAGGGCACACACCATGGTGTGTGCGCGGTGCCACCCCGTGTGCCCTCGCCTGGCCTCCAGGGGGCTGGTGGGGGGGAGCGTGCCGGCCTCGCTCCTCCTGGGGTTCAGGGTTGAGGCCTGCAGGGCCTGGGAGAAAGGCTGCCCTGTGGAGACGTGGCGGGCCGCCCAGGCCTGGTGTTGGGACGGGGACAGGATGCTCCCTAGGGACAGCGGGCCGCGACCAGGAGCTCCACACAGCGTCCTTTGTCAGGGCAGCAGCATCCCCCGTTTCCAGCACAGCCTGGACAGAGAGGGATTGTTCACCCGCCCCCCCCCCCCCGAGGGCAGTGGGCTGGGAGCCAGCGGGTGGGAGCAGAAGCGGACTGGGGAGGAGCCGAGCCTCACCCTGCCATTGCTCTCAGAGCCCATCTGCGCTGTGGGCCACGGCGTCGCCGCCCTCTGCTGCGCCACCAACGAAGACAGATCCTGGGTCTTCCAGGGCTACAGCGTCACGGGGGTGAGTGTGACCCGCCCACGTGCCCTCTGGAGGGGGTGAGGTCACTTGCCTAGCTCCCCCCCCCCCCCGCGCTGCCCCCCAGGGCGGGCCTGGCTCTGGATGCGGGGAGAGCACAGGGAGGGGTGGGGGCAACCTTGGGGTGCTGCTGGCATCAGGTTGAGACACGGCTTTTCCGGGTTGAGGAAGCGGTGCTGCCCTCAGGGTGCAGGGCCCCGGGTGTAGGGAGGGTCATAGGACAGCGACCCCGTTGGGCTAGTGGGGCGGCCTGGAGGGGGGCGTGGGAGGGGACGGGACAGCGGGGAGGGGGGGCTCAGCCCGAGACCACCTGCCCATCTCGTTCACGGTCCCCCAAGCCCTGGCACGGGTCCCCTCGGGGCCCCCACCCCCCGGGGAGGCCACGAGCCCTGACCTGGGGCGGGACCCCTCGCCCCACAGCCCTCTGTGTACGAGCTCGTCAGGGCGCCTGGCTTCGCCCGCCTGCCCCTGGTCGTGGAGGACTTCATGAAGGACGCGGGCGCCTGCTTCAGTGGTGAGCCGGGCGGCCTGGAGCTGGGGGGTCGTCGGGGTGTGCCCGGCCACGGCCCCACCTGAGGCCTGTGCCCTGGTGCCTCCTGCAGCCAGTGAGCCGGACGCTGTGCACGTGGTGCTGGACCGCCACCTGGTCACCGGCCAGAACGCCGGCTCCACCGTCCCCGCTGTGCAGAACCTGCTCTTCCTCTGCGGCAGCCGGTGAGGGCGGGATGGGGGCCCTGGGGGTGCCTGGGGGGCCCTGGGCGGGCTCCTGCCTCCTGATCGGCCCTTCACCGGAACCCGGCTGTCCTGCAGGAAGTGACGTGGCTTCCAGCTGAGCCGGCCGCCTGCCAGTGACGCCGCCGCCCCCAGATGCCCAGGTGCCCACTGGCCTCTGCGTTCCTCAGCCTCAGGGGGCCACCTCCATAGCAGCCCTGAGAATGACCCTCAGGGCCCCCAGGCTCCCCCATGGGACTGTTGGGAGGCCCCCCACGTGTCCGCCCTGAGGGCTGTCAACGCAGGGGGACGGGTCGGCCTCCCAGCCCCAGGATACATGCTTTCCTCGGTGAGGGCGAGGGGCTATCAGGGGGTCTTGAGAGTCCAGGTGAGCTTAGCATGGGGAGCCGGTCCCAGTGAGCCGGCCGTGGGGGTCCTGTTTTGGGGTCGTGGCCCCCTGGTCTTCCTGTGTGCTGGGGGGTGGGTCCCTCACCCACATGTGCCCCGTCAGCCGGACTGAGCGGCCCCAGGACCCTGTCTGGTGCCGTGAGGACAGGCCCCCTGCTGCCCCCGTTCCTGTGGGTGCTGGGGGGCAGCTGTGCCCCAGGCTGGTGCTAGTGCTGACACAGCGCTCGTTGCTTGCCCAAGATGAGGGGGCATCCTGTGGACTCAGCTCGGGCTCCAGCCTAGCCTGCTGCCCCCTGAAGGAGCTGCCCTGGTTTTCATCCTTGCTGGGCGTGTCGTGGGCGTGTCATTTCAAAGTGTGACACTGACACGTGGGGCCAGCATGGACTGGACGTCGAGGGACGTGTTTGACAGGATCCGCCCTGCTGAAGCTGGCTGGCCCATGAAGAAGTCAGACCTCTGCCCACCCACAATATCCAGGAAATCCAGAGTGGATGTCATGGGGGGAGGGGAACAGGACGCCTCCTGTTGGTGACGGGAACCTGTTAAAGCTGGGCGTCGGGGCGCTCGTGCAACTCCACGTTGGGGTGGTGGGTTTGTGTCCCACGTGGGGTGTAGAGATTACTTTAGAAAATAAAACTTTTTAAAGATTTTGAGAGCACGTGAGCAGGGGATGAGGGAGAGGGAGAAGCAAGCTCCCCCCGAGCAGTGAGCCCGATGTGGGGCTTGATCCCAGGACCCTGGGGGTCATGACCTGAGCCCAAGGCAGATGCTTAGGCAGGCCTGCCAAATAAACTCAATTTGGGTGTCTGCGGGGTTCGTTTAAGTCACCAGCTTGTACGTGTGGGTGGGACGGACATCCAGGTCCTAGGGTGCAGCCTGCTGACCAGCTGGCCCCCCACCTGCCTGTGAGCTGTGGGCCGGGAGCAGCCAGGGGCACAAAGCCCCACCCGGTGCTCCTGGATGCCCAGCCGCCCCCTGCACATCCTGGGGTGGTGCTCAGCACAGGCTGGGTCTGCTGGGGGGCCGACTGCGCCCACGGTGGGTCCTCTCCCCGGAGCCCGCCCTGGTACTGGGATGCTCCTGGCCTCGGGGAGATGGTGCTCTGACCCCAGAGCCAATCCCAGCCCAGGCTGGGGGCCCTGGCTGCCCTGCAGTGGGACCCGGGGAGGCCCACCTGGCATCCTCCACACCTGGAGGCCAGACAGACAGTCTCCAGCACCAGTCTGCTCTGTTCCAGAACAGGCTGGCCCTGGGTAGCCTGGGGGGGCGGGGTGCTAGAGGCAGACCACCGTCACGGCCCCCAAGGCCTTCCCAGCACAGCCAGGGCGCCCCGGGCCATCCCCACACGGGGGCACGAGGGCTGGAGCCACTGGGCAGGCACCTGCGACGTCCAGGCCGCTGCCCAACAGAGGCTGATGGCCCAGGGGAGGCGCGGTCACGGCCTAGGTCACCCCAGCCAGAACCAGACCGGAACGTAGCACAAGAAAAGTGACTGCTTTAATCAGCAAAATTTCACATAGAATCTGATCCATCCCTGCCCCGATTGGTAGAAAATGCAGAATCCTCACAAGGCGCGTGTGTGCAGCCCCAATTCCACACAGGTCCGCGGTCCCACTCGGCCACGGCACTATTTTCCGTTCTCTGCGGTGAACATGCGGTCCTAGAACGCGAGGGTGACAGATGCAGGAACCGCGCACCCACCCCTACCGGGGCCACAGCCGGCGGGGTCCGGCAGCCCCACCACGCGCCCAGGGGCGTCCCCCTGGAACCCTCGGGCCCTGCAGCTTGGGTGCTCACCATCAGCATGTGCTCGAGCTTCACGGCGTCGGCTGCAAACTTGCGGATACCGTCCGACAGCTTCTCCACGGCCATCTGGTCCTCGTTGTGCAGCCAGCGGAAGGCCTTTTCATCCAGGTGAATCTTCTCCAGAGCGCTGGCCTGGGCTGGGGGACCGGGCGCCTGAGCCTCCCTCACCCCCCCACCCGCCCCGCGGGGCGCCCTCGGAGATGGGGGGGAGGCAGCCACCCCCGGGAGCTGAGGGCTTACCCGCCTTGGCCGACAGCACGGGGGTCAGCTGGCTGTGGTCCTTGAGCAGCTCCCCCAGCAGCTTGGGCGAGATGGTGAGGAAGTCACAGCCCGCCAGCGCTTTGATCTCGCCTGTGTTGCGGAAGGAGGCGCCCATGACGATGGTCTTGTAGTCAAACTTCTTGTAGTAGTTGTAGATCTTGGTGACACTCTTCACTCCTGGGGCGACACATGGTGTTCGGGGTTCCTGCCCAGCCTCTGGGTCAGCAGCCGCGGGGTCGCCCTCGGGGCTGCCGTCCCCCCCGCTGCGCCGGGGTACTCACCGGGGTCCTCCAGGGGCTCGTAGGACTTCTTGTCCGTGTTGGCCACGTGCCAGTCGAGGATGCGACCCACGAAGGGGGAGATGAGTGTGACTCCCGCTTCAGCGCAGGCCACGGCCTGGGCGAAGGAGAAGAGCAGCGTCATGTTGCAGTGGATGCCGTGTCGCTCCTCCAGCTCCCTGAGGACACAGCGCAGGCGTGAGAGAGGCTGCGGGCTGCACGGCGTTTCGCGAGCGTGGAAGGGCCCTGTTCGGTCCGGGCCCGCCGGCCGTGCAGCCAGAACCGAGCCGCCCCCCGCAGCACGGGCATTACACTCGGCCCGGCGACAGTGACCGGAGACCGTGGAGTCCCCTGACCACCCCGCTACCCCTGGGCAGGTTCACGGGGGCCTGCAGCCATGGCCACACTGTGCCGTTCCAGAAGCCCTGCCGCAGGGAATGGGGACCGGGGGACACCCTGCCGGTACCAGACCTCCCAGGGCCCGTGTGCCCGGGCCCTGGCAGCTGCGCAGGGCTGACTGGACGGGAAGCGACTGGGGCAGCGCTCTGGGAGGGGCTTCCTCGTGAGTGGGAGGCGGAACACGGACGTGGGCCAGCAGCCCGGGAGTCCCCCAGGCTGAGACCGGGATGCCGCCCCACAAAGCCGCAGAAGCCACGGGACAGGTTAGCAGCAACACGGGCCATGGGGCTGTCCACGCAGAGCTCTGGTCTCCGGGCGGCCGCCAGATCCATGACCACCAGGCCACTCAGCGCCACCACCAGGCAAGGAAGTGTCCCCAGCCATCATTCTTGCCCCACACCACCTGGCAGCCAACGTGGGATGCTTCCTCAGCAAAGCTGCGCACCTGCTGACCCTGCTGCCGAGCGCGTGCAGCCTCACAAGCCGGTGGCCGCAGCCCAGGAGCAGCTTGGACGGGTCCCCCCCACGCCGAACTGGCCCTCAGTGTGGCAGCCTGAGGGACCGCTGGCAGCAGTGCCCGCAACCCTGGCATTTGCCGCCCCCTGCAAGTTTCTGTGGTGGGGCAGTGTCTTTTCAGCGGGCCTGTGCTACCCTGATTTCTCCACTCGGGGACTGAGGACACTGTGCCGGAGTAACAAGCGGCCGCAGGGCTCCAGGGAAGGGCACCGCCAGCCCGACACGATACCTCGGTGTCAGTAACAAGGTCTACGAGTCTCAAAAAGTTTTCCCCATCGCTGCTGACAAAAATAAGAACTACCCAAGTATTGGGAAGAGTGCGTATGGCTGCAGATGGCACGGCGGGGGGCCCAGCAGCAGCTCCTCAGGCGGCCGAGCAGGAGGGACGGGCACAGCAGCCCTGCTCCCACGGACGCGCCCACGTGTCTGATGTTCACCGCAGCGTTCTCCGGGCCGACCCAGGGACGGGAACAGACACGTGTCCACTGAAACATGAGTGGACACACAAAACGGGGTGCAGATGCAGCGGCACGTCAGCGTCAACAGGGACGCCACCTGGACATGCAAACCTCCTCACCGTGCCGAGGGAGGGGGCCCAAGCCAGGGCGAGGGTGAGGTGGCCCGAGTGGACACACGGCGGGGGCGGAGAGGCTCGCTGACAGCTGTCAGGTGGCCGGACCAGCCAAGAACACGGACGACCGCCCGTCCCTGAGCTCCCCACGGTGGGCCGATGACAGCTGGCTCTGCACTCCCCATGGTGGTGAGCCGGCCCGACGCAGGCCTCTGCACCAAGGGGGGAATGTGCCGCAGCCGCACAGCCCCAGCCCCGGGACGGGAACCCCGACGGGCGGTCCCCACAGGGGTACTTACTTCCCAGCCTGAATGCCCTCCCAGGTGGACGAGAGCTTTATGAGGATGCGGTCCTTGCTGATCCCAGCTTCCTTGTAGAGCTCGATGAGCCGCCGCGCTCGGGCCACCATGGCGTCCTTGTCGAACGACAGCCTGTGCAAACAAGGGGCCGTACCCGGCACAAGCCCACCTCACACTCACACTCCTCCCCGGGTTCACACGCAAACAGCAGCACCAGCCCGTTTCTCGGGGAGGATACCGGCGCTCCGCCTGCCGCTTCCGCCCACACGTGCTTACCTGGCGTCCACTTCTGTGGACACACGGCCTGGAATCTTCTTTAATATTTCTGCTCCAAACAACACAAAAAGTTTATCGATAGCATTTTTAATCTGTTCCTCTTGCGACCTGAAATTCAAGGGAAAAAAAACTAGGTCAAAAGCTTTTCGGTTTAAGCGCACAGGATTCCGCGGAACAAATTCTCTCATTCCTTAGCGGCAAATTCCTTTCCCTTCATCTTTTGTCCACAAGGTAGAACACACAGAGCCTAAAATTCAGCATCTTAACCGTACCCAGGAGTGCAGCTCAGGGCATTCAGGGACGCTGACAGCGTGCAGCCATCCCACCATCCGTCTCCGGAACCTTTCATCATTCCAAGCTGAATCCCTCCATGCGTGGCACTCGACAAACGTCATCCTTTCAATCCCTTGAAACTGCCTGGGCCCTGGGCAGGCGGGTGAAGCACCCCGAGGTATTCCACAACAGTCCCCCATCCGGGGCCCTCGCTAGCCCAGCGCACAGGGGTGGGCTCCAGCCTGCGCATCATGGGCAGGCGTCACTAAGGGCCACCACCCTGTCACCTGATGCCAAAAGCACCGAGGCCTTGCTGACGCCATGGGGCGCAAGATCAAGGGTCTGGAGGAGGTAAAGGGAGCCGGCCGCTCAGGCAGTGTGCAGCGCGGGGCAGGTCCCAGCAGGCGCACAGCCCCGTGGAGACCTAAAGTCATCAGGAAAAGGCACAGAGGGCGGGGAGGGCCGGTCTGTGGCTGTCTGGGGCAGGAGCAGGACCGGACTGTGAATGGCCAAGAACATTCTAGACTCGATTGTGGTCGTGGCTACACTGCTGAAAAAATTTACCAGAACAAACTGAACAGCGCACTTGGCAAATTTCACTGCAGCAAAGCTGTTAGGAGATAATGAGATGACCGCGAGCAGGTCGGTGGTTGCTGGCCCCTGGGCGATATCTTAGCTGGGGGGCACTTACAGGGGTACACGCGCCTGCAAACCACATTCACTGAACTGGACACTTGCGAGGGCGCAGGTTGACTACATGCAAATAACACTTGGATAAAACTCGGGCAGCCCGGGTGGCTCAGCGGTTTAGCACCGCCTACAGCCTAGGGCATGATCCTGGAGACCCGGGATCGAGTCCCAAGTCAGGCTCCCTGCATGGAGCCTACTTCTCCCTCTGCCTGTGTCTCTGCTTCTGTCTCTGTCTCTGTCTCTCTCGATTAAATAAATAAAACCTTTAAAAAAAAAAAACTCAA